TATCTACAGCTAATACCTTTTAGGGGTATATAAATAAAATTTATATTGGAACATGCTATATTATAATGTTATACAACTCTTGCCTCGCCTAATGTAATTTATGATTAATCACAAAGTTTGTTTCTGGTAGTTCAGTAGGTAGTTTGCGCAATTGAAAATGATTTTCTGATGATGACATACTTTCAAAGACATACTGCAAAGACAAATCTACAATAGGATTTATATTGGCGGTTAAATAGTCACTTCCATGAAATAATTTGAAAAATACAAAATGTGATATTTTATATCAAAAACATACCGAAGACAAATGTAATCATTTTTTAGTGCCATATACACTATGTCCCAAATTGGTGCTGCATGTATTGCTATCTCGGTTATTATAAGAGCTACAAAATCGCTTAAATGGGCAATGTTTCAGAACTGCTATTACATTTTTTCAGTTATTTTTGGTTTTTGAATAAATCGCGAAAAACCAAAATGGTGGGTTTTTGACAGTCCTCTGTATCACGATTATTTGAGAACATACGGTATTTTGGTCTAAACATTCTAGGGGCATTTTTTTAAGGTCTTTACAATAAAAAATAAAACAAAAGAATTTCTTCTTCCGTTTTCGAGATATTGACTATAACTTTGTTTTTCTTATGGACGCCATATTGGATTTTTATTGCATTAAATAGAATTGTTAATTTCCTTTTCAAAAATGTATCACAACGTGGTACTTTCTTTCAACTGAATACTGAAATAAACAAATCTGAAAATTATACTCTGTTTAATTTGAACTTTATAAAAACCATATAACAACAAGGATTTTGCGATAATTTTTGGGATAATTTACAATACAAGCTGCAGATATAAACTGTTTAATTTAAAGAAATTGTTCTATGTGGCCACCAATTTGATCACAATACATTTGTAAACGATTTTGCAGAGAGTTTATTGCCCTTAATAATGTGTTTCTATTCACTGCACCCATAGCGTTTTGGACTCTATCTTCTAAAACTGCAATATTTTCTGGAGCTTCAAATGAGTAAGTTTCGTTTTTAATGTGTCCCCATAAGAAGAAGTTAAGGGGATTTATATCAGGGGATCTAGCAGGCCACAAAATGTCTCCATTATTTGCAATTAATCTATTGGGAAAGTTTTCTTCCAAATAATATTTTACGACGGCGGCATTATGAGCTGGACAACCGTCGCGCATATACCAATTTTAATCTAAGTTCCCCACAGATGTCCTCACAGCGGGCATTATTTGTTCTTGTAAGAGCTGAAGATATCGTGCTGCATTTAAATTGAAATTAAAAATTATTGGTCCAATTAATTGATTTCCTGAAAGTAAGAATTTCAATAATTTCATATTTAAACGTAAATCTTATTTTATACTTGCCTATTATGCCGCATCAAACATTAAATCCAAACTTTGTTTGGAATCTTCTTTGTGAGGTGAGTTTTGGGTCTTCTATAGCCCAGTGATGGGTATTATGCCTGTTGAAAACTCCGCAATTGGAGTTTCGTCAGTCCATATTATGTTCATGAAAAAATTGGCATTTTCTCGCATATGTTGAATGTACCATTCACAAAATCTTACTCTTCGGGGAAAATCATTTGCCGATAAACCTTGTACAATCCTAGGTTTGTATGGATGATATTTATTAACGTCCAGTATTCGATGATGGGATGACTTAGGGATATCCGTTTCCAATTTTTCTAAACGATGCTGTTGGATTATTATTAGTGTATTGTAATACAGCATCAATTCTCTCCTCTTTTTCAATATCATATTTATGATTTCTGGGTTTTTCAAAACTTCCATAATTTAGAAAATTTAATACCAGATGCCTAAAACGTCTTGCGTTTGGTTGATGCCGTTCAGGAAATTTATTTTCATAAGTTTCTGTGGGCTACGAAGTAAGTTTCTAACATGTCTAATTTTTCATCATTGGTATACTTAAGAGCCATATTTGAAAATAATAACGTTTAAATTTAACACAAAAAAAGCAACGAATTGAAAATGAACGAATAAAATCTAATGTTAAACCTTAGATAATGTTAAACCAACTATAATTTGACAGTTATAAAACATATTTTTGGCTCGCCTACTAGACCAAATTGAGCAGAGCAGCAAAATTAATTAGGAAATTTTTAGATTTGTTTATTTTAGCATTCATTTAAAAGAAAGTACCATGTTGTGATACATTTTTAAAAAGGGAATTAATAATTCTATTAAATGCAATAAAAAATCAATATGGCGTCCATAAGAAAAACAAAGTTATAGTCAATATCTCGAAAACGGAAGAAGAAATTCTTTTGTTTTATTTTTTATTGTAAAGACCTTAAAAAAGTGCCCATAGAATATTTAGACCAAAATACCGTATGTCCCTAAATAATCGAGATACAAAGGACTGTCAAAAACCCACCATTTTGGTTTTTCGCGATTTATTCAAAAACCAATAATAACTGACAAAATGTAATAGCGGTTCTGAAATGGTAATAGAATCCTGAGAAACATTGCCCATTTAAGCGATTTTGTAGCTCTTATAATAACTGAGATAGCAATACATGCAGCACCAATCTGGGACACAGTGTATACGATATTTACAATGTTATTTTCTATTAAATAACTTTCGGTAAATAGATTAGAATCCGTATATTAATCCTTTTATTTCATATATTGTAAGGCCCATCATTTATTACGACCCACCTTGCCTTCTTTTAACAGTACTTTGGAGAAAATTGATGAAATAACAAGTGTAACCAAACAAATTAAACATTCACTATATAATAATAAATTTCTAATATGGCAGTCTTCCCAACATGTTTGCAAAATCATTCTGACAGAGTATGATAAAACAGAATAAATGTAAAACAGTTTAAAATTAATATTGTTATAAAAATATTCTAAAAACCGTTATAGGATTCTCCCTTTTACTCTTAAAGCAGATTTATAGCAGCCCTAAGGCTATCTCGTGGATTCAAAAGTTTTATCAGTGTCTTAAAAAAGGGTTTTATGGTTATCCTGTATACTTTGATCAATCTAAAATTGTTATTGAGATTAAATATACATTAAAATAAGTTATTATTTGTGTAGAATCGATTAATAATTGTAAATAATAGCATTTTTTTTATTTGAACCATATTTAAAAAAAAAAAAATTTTAATCAAACTACATGAAACTATTTTAATTATGAGTATTAAAACCAAAAACGTAAAAGTGGCCGTAGACGCATGGACTTGCCTTCCACGCGAAAAGCCGGGGATCAATTATCGGCTGGCGCTAATTTTTTTTTAGTTAAATTCATAAATTATTTTAAAATTAGTTATTTTGTCTTAATAACCTAATTTTTTTTTGAATTTGTAGATTTTCATTAGTGAGTCGTAGAAAAAATATACTGTACAACTCGAACTATTTTAAACATTGAATCCAGTTCATTTTTAACCAGGTTTAAACCACACCCATACCATACACCCTAAATGGTTTAATGAATTATTAAGCTAGTCTTCTTTCTTCTTGAGATGCCCTCTGTCAAGCTCTTTTTATGTTGGATGTTACAGTGGCAAGTTCATCCCGATTTTAGGCATGTTCTACACTTTTATTTCGGTCCATTCTCAGATATTTTTCTAGTAGAAATCTTGTTTACACTCCACAATTATAAATTGCATCTAATACAGGGTGTCCCAAATAAATTTTAAATGTAAATGCACAGCTTATTAATTGCTCTAAAGAGATGGGGTTTTGACTAATTGCTTTCGTTTATCCAAAAGTTTTTGTTTAAAGTTTGTTCACATTTTATCACATCAATACAGGGTGATCCACTAATGTTGGCAACTTGAATGGAAAAAATATGATTTATTTTAAATGGAACACTCTGTATATTTTGATGGCATTCAAAAGAGAGATTCATCTACTTTTTAAAAATGTATAGTTTGATATCTTTTGTTTTCTTAACAACACAGATTTTCGAGTTTTTAAGTAACACTGCTGTTTTCTTTATTTAAAAACTGGCATTAAATAAAATTAACAAAAAGAATTTGTTCAGTAACAAAACATAATAAAAATTTAATATAGATTACAAAACAATTATTAATAATGAAGGATGAAAAAGATACAACAAATGCTGTATTTGCCTATGTATACCTTCCTCTTCAATACACATGCGTAATTGAAATTTAACACACACAAAATTAACCGAACATTAACATTTGGTCTATCTCTTTCAAATTCATTAAAAGTAACATACATCTGTCTATTTCATAAGAGAGTAAAACACTCGTATCAAATTATTATGTTCAAATAAATCTGCCTAAATCTTTCGGTTGCAAGCACGATGGATTCTTGGCTCAATTCTTTCTTGCAGACCAGCTCTGTGGTTTTAAAGTTCTACACAAAACTGTACTTTTTTTTCATTTCATCCTGGGGCATATCCCAAGTATGTTCGGTCCTGAAGCTAATACTCCATTCCTGATCATTCTATATCGTGTCCATTTTGCCACATTCTCTATCATTAAATGTAAAGGGGGAGGTTTAAGATCACCTCCATTGCAGCCGTTAGAACAGTTTCTCAATGCACTGGTGATGCAAACGCAAGCTATAGTCTTTCTACTTTTGAGATATTAGCTCTCGTAGTAGCTAAACTAGTTCTGTTAATCCAGGCTATAGCCTCGTAAGTGATGATTGGTCTCACGATTGCTGTATACATCACAGTGTGTTCTGGTTACATCCCCATCTTTTACCTGCAATGTTCCTGCCCTTTATTTTTATTATGTTTGATTACATTATTGTATTGTACAGATATGAGAGGTTTCTACATTTTATAGTATTTCTCAATTGAAATTTGATATATTTAGAATCGTATAATTTGTACCCGACAAGTTTGGAGCCCTTATGACTTACCGATCTTTTGTAGCTGAGCATGCTACTAAATACCATTAATTTGGTTTTGTCCAACTGCTTTAATAATATTTAGAATATTTCAAACATCACTTTTTTTATTTTTTTTTTTCAGGGGAATGTTACCTAACAACTCATGCAACGAATCTAGGCAACAATATCGAAGAAACGGAAAGTCTGCTACGCGAACACAACGAATTTAAAGGTACTGCCAAGGAGACCCGGGAAAGAGTGAAACTGCTCATTCAACTGGCCGACAGTCTCGTCGAAAAGGGTCATGCTCATGCTTCTTCCATCAAACAATGGGTTGCAGCAGTTGATAATAGGTGAGTTTATTTATTTTAAATAGTGCATCTGTAATGAATTAAAAAAAATACGAATGAATTCAGAAATAATTGGATTAGTAACTGAATGAAAATACTTAAATTACTGTTGGAAAAGGTCATCTAAACATGTGAAATTTTACAACACGAATCGCTTGACAAGTTTCTTGAAAAATTTAAGAACAGTCAAATAAAATACCCATTAGAATCTGAAAATAATAGTATATTATTCAACGAGCACATAATACCCATTATATGCTAGTAGAATACTATACTTTGTCTACTAGTGTTAGGTATTTATGAAAATACTTTTGTTATGGCAAATATTTAGGAAATATAACTTTTATTATGTATAATATGAAAAACAATATTAACATTAACTTATTAATTACAATTCAACATTATTTATATTAATAGTCTAACACCTTAATTAATATTCGGATTTTGTAGAAATTTTTTGATTGCTGGCATAATAATTATAATTATTTATTTGTATGGAGCTTGATATTAGTTTAGCTGCATTTGTTTTGTTACGGAGTCGTTTATGTAGCCCTCAGCCACTGCTAATGATTTCCTTCCGCCATGGCGTTTCAAAGCCGTTATATCACCTCCTGCATCTACAAGTAGCAGAAGATCTGCGAAAACTATGTCCAGAATATTTTTCAAAAGGCGACTATATGTTTCTATTTTAGTAAATTTATTAATACCAATTCTTTAAGCAGTGCATTTACCGTAATATTTTAAAAATAGCAAAAATCTTGTAACGTGAGTTGGACAACTACTTTTTGAGTTATTTTTGTCTTGGTTTTGGGCACATTTACTGAAAAATCTGATAAAATTACTTTTAAATCAGTAATTTTCATACAATACATCTCATTAACCCGACAAGCACCATTATTCCCATTAGTGCAACTTTAAAAAAAAATACTTAATTGTAATAAATGAAGAAAGATCTTAATCAATATTTTACCTTTGTTTCAAGTTATTTGTCATCTGATGCTTTAGTAAGAAAATCATTAATATTTTATTCCTTTCCATTGAAGAATCCAGATGTACGAATTTCGAAGTTTTTTATTGAAGTGATGACATATAAAGTGATATTTTTTGTAATCACAGCCAGTCAAAATGATCTTCTTTACGCAAACAGTTGCGTAATGTAAAAAAATTCATTATGTCACCAGTTGCGAAAAGAAAACAAATAAAAATAAAGCCCTTATGGTTTTAAAACAGCAATGGAGGTATTATTACATCTCACGCCACTGCACATCTTCATACAAGGAGAAACCAGGTCAGCTATTCACAGGCTAATGCAGGGACAAAACCCAATGAGCCAACTACATAGCGCCGACCACACAAGGCTATATCAGCAAGTAAAAAGGGATAATATTCTAGCTATGCCTACTGATAGAGCCATAACCACTAGGGTGGAGCGAAAAAAAATTTTTTTTTTCCTTAGGCTGGGGGTGTAATTTGTAGCCTATAAAAAAAGAAAATTTTTGAAAAAAAAAAAACGTCTTGAGGTGGCCCACTGATTTTTAAATTAAATTTAAATTAAAATTCTTTTGAATGAAAAAAACATTTTTTTTGGCTTGTAATCTTCAAATTTATCTAAAAATAAACAAATTTGATCGTGTTCAACTCGAAATTCGCTCTATTTCCTCAGAAAAGCATGTTACTAGTTTGGAATTTTTTTAAAAACAACAATAATTACCACAAAAAATTTTTTAAGTTCATAACTGTTAATTAGCAGATAAATTTGATGATTACAAGCCAAAAAAAATTTGTTTTTCATTCAAAAGAATTTTAATTTAAATTTAATTTAAAAAATCAGTGGGCCACCTCAAGACGTTGAGTAAAAAAATTATTTTTTTTCAAAAATTTTCTTTTTTTATAGGCTACAAATTACACCCCTAGGCTAAGAAAAAAAAATTTTTTTTTCGCTCCACCCTAATAACCACACAAATTTGAAAGAAAATTTCAAATTCAAATACCAGCCCGGGAATCCTGGAAACAGGGACCTCCCGTACAGGCTGTCTAGGAGAATATGCAATAGTGTTCCAGGCTGAACTAATAGCCATACAACACTGTGCAAGAGAAATATTAAATCAGCAAGTATCAGGCAAAACTATTGCCATATACTCTGATAGCCAAGTAGCTCTAAAGGCAATTCTCTCACCAGAAATCAAATCACGACTGGTTAAAGACTGTCTAGAAGACCTGGCAGAGCTAAGTAGTCAAAACAAGGTGACCCTAGCCTGGGTGCCAGGCTATGAGGGATATCAGGGCAACGAAAAGGCCGACAAATTAGCCCGAGAAGGCTCAGATAAGGCCATGACAGGCCCCGAACCATTCTGTGGAGTTGCTAAGGCATTGTGCAAGGTATCCATTAAACAATGGATGGAAAAAGAGTCTCAGAAATTGTGGAACAACTATCCAAGACTGAGGCAGACCAAACAGTTCATCAAGAAACCATCGGCCAAGTTCACGAAAGACCTACTAGATCAAAAGCGTCAAATCGTTAGGATAACAGTAGGCCTTCTTACTGGACACTGTCTCCTCAAAAGACACACGAGTGTCATCAATCCAGCAGAAGAAGCAACTTTGTGCAGGGTCTATGAAGAAGAAGAGGAAACATCATTCCACGTCCTGTGCCAATGTGAAGGCCTGGTTGGAATGAGTTTTCTAACATTGGGCGAAGAAAAGCCAAACGCATGCAACTACATGCGGGAGCCACTGTCAAAGCTACTAAGTCTAATAAAAAATACCAAGCTAGACGACATACTCTAAAACAAACGGAGTTTCACAATAGATCTGAAAAGGTCGCGGTGGACAAGGACAAGCAACGTCCAACTCCCAATCTAATCTATGGTTTTAAAATCAATAATATACATTATTATTGTAAGTTTATATCAAAGAAGGGCAGATTGACTTATAAAAATAGAATTTGGTTAAACTTACTACTTAGTAATAATGTTATTTTTGTCCTTATTTTCCATTCTAAATCAGTACAAAATAATTAAAATACAATACAGTACATGATGTTATGTTGAGAATGGGGTGTTAATACACTGCGACCTAAAAGATCTATTGTGCCCCCTTCTGTCGCCACTGCACTAAAGAAATGTCTCAATGCCTATAGCGACCCTTCCAATCCCATTTTCTCAAGGATACAATACACCACTTTCTTAAAATCTAAATAACTTTAAAAAATAATATAAACAAACTACAAGTCGTTGAGAATAAATTATTATTTTCTATTTGCCAATAAAAGAATGAAATTAATCATATGCAACTAATAATACAATAAAGTAGTAATATTGGTTGCCTAGATGTCAGTAATTTTTTACCAAAACACAATTTTATAAATAATCTAGTAAAATTAAGAAAAAATATTGTATGTTACATGTTACGAAATGTCGTTTTATGTAACTCGTTCATGTTGTGGGACCTCGTTCTGCTCATCCCGCAAATATTCACTCGTTACAGAAAATAAAGCATTTCGCAACTGGTTTCTTTCTTTTAGTATAATTTTCTGCAACAAAACGTAAACTCATAGAATTGTCTTCGTTGACTTAAGCGGGCCATTAGTTTGCAACGTTGCCAAGTCATCGTCAATTTTGTTATGTCCAAATCGGTATTTTGAAGAATTGGGCGAAAAAGAAAATGGATTACGAAATAGTGCTTGAAATTTTTTTCTCGAAAAATATTGACTCGAAAAATATTTGCACGAACAATTTTTACAAAAATACATTCTCACGAAAGAATATTTGCACTAAATATAATTTCATTCAAAGCACATTTGCACGAATGTGCGCTTGATTAAAAATCGCAAGAACATTCTATACATTATTGTTTTTTTAATATTTTATTCCTCTGTGATTTACATTTGTTAGTTTAGAAAAATATAAATGGCTCCAGGCCGCACAGGTTGTAGCAGTTATATTTTTAAAGTTTTCTAATTTTATGTATATTTATTCTACAAAGCAATCCGCGTTATCTCCAGGTCGCACAGGCTAGGTGTAAATTAGTTTTTTTTATTTTAATTAAAATACTAGAAAATTATTTCTATTTTCTTTTATATATAGATTAGGTTAATTAGTTTCAGGTTTCTTTGATATTTGCAATTTTGTAACGTTGTTGCTACCAATATAACCTATAAAATCGAGATTTTTATTTACAATTTTCTCGAAAAATGGTGGTTTTCCGTAAATTTCTTTTTACTTCCCTCTTTGTTGGCGGGATAGCTTCTTCCGATCACTTATATACAGAGTGAGCAGTTAAAAAAAAATATATTTTTAAAAGTCTGCAGATATCGACTAAAATTGGTATCTGAAAATTTTAGCAGTCAAAGATAATAGATCTTAAATAAGTTTTTAAAAATTCAAAATGGCGTTGAAAGGAATCTTATTTAATTAAAAAAGGTCCTCCTTGAATGAAAATAATAGAAAGCGTCCTTTTGGTTTGTGTACTGGACCATATTAAAAGCACCTAATCATTATTGTTCAATAACGGTAAACGTGACGAAGAACACCGAGCGGACGCGAAGTGAGAGTTTGGGTGGGATCGAGTGGAAGATCGATGGAGAGAGGAATGTTAAAAAGGGTTTTTGATTTGATGGTTTTAATTTTAAATTGTTAAAATTTAAGTGCTTAAGAGTGCCCTATTTTTACAATATCTATATCAAGGGAGTTCTGGGTAAAATATTTTACCGATTTTTTAATTTACTATAGAAACTAGTTACTTTTTAATTTTAAAAATGTTTTTGCGAAATTCTGGATTCTTCACCGGATCCTTTTCTCTGGAGAAAGTACTACCTTTTTTGGGTTGAAAACCTTCACTTTTTCGATTTAATGCAAGTGGTTTCATATAGTTTTCTATATTTATTCCTTGATGTATAATGATAGTACTCTAAATAAACAATGAATAATGGGCCTATATAGTGTTGAGGATTTATATTTTGTGGATAGTTCTGATAATAAATTCAGTAATGAAATTTCAGCAGA